CCAAGGGCTTCCCCAAACAAAGGAGTAAAGGCAACATATATTTTCCCCCTTTGCACCTCAGCTCTGCTGTTAGAAGTTCTCTGTTCTGTCTACCTTTGAATATGTAGAGAACCAAGAAAAACGCTTTGGTAGTATCTCTGTGTCAATAAAGTCTTCACTGTCTCAGAAAAAAAGCACACATACATGAGAGAGAGAGAGAGAGGATGCAGTGCAGTGGTTAAGATGTTGGACTAAAATATGGGAGACCCAAAATCTAACCTTAGTATCGGAATCTCATATGGTGACTTTAGGCTAGTATTTCTCTCTCTCAACCCAACCTACCTCAGATGATTGTTATGGGGTTAAAATGAAAGAAGACCACTATGTAAGTTGACTTGAGCTCTGAAAGGTGAGAGAGAAATAAATTCCATTTCAGACTGATAGTTGGGCAAATTATTAACAATAATTTCAGCTAATGAAGATTCAATACAGAAATATGAATAAACCCAACACCTTTTAAAAATTAAAATTAACAACATGATATTAAATAATCATACTTCAAACTTTGAGAGTTTTGCAATACGTAAACAAATGAGGTGGTCTAGTTAGCTTAGCAGTGAGTTTAGACCAGGCTATTCTCTGGCTGTATTTTCTCATCAAAGAAACCTGATACCTCGCTTCAGTGTTTGCCAATTCCAGATAAGCTTCAGGAACTTGAGTTGGTGCAATCTGGATGTAAAAGAGGGCTTGCTATTCTAAATATTAATCTTAAAATTACATTTAACTGTGGGACAATTTTATCTTGTTTAGTTTGAATTATTCCAGGCTTTCTTTCATGTCTGTCCCTATTTCAGTTATGAAATCTAGAGAATTTAGGCTTTAAAATGTATGGTTTCAACATCAGCAATCCACAAAGAGATAAGGTGGGGGGGGGGGAAGAAACTCTGTGCTCTCTTTGCAAAGCACAAAGCAAGTTGTAAACCTTATAGAGTGCACTGTTACATGTATGTGAAACATATACATTATGTGAGAAATATATATACAGAATATAAAATCATATATTAAAATAATGCCCTTCAGAATGGATTAATAATGGTTATTATTTGATATTCTTTTGGTACAGGAATATCTGTTTGGTTTTTCATAGACCTTATAGAGTGCACTGTTACATGTATGTGAAACATATACATTATGTGAGAAATATATATACAGAATATAAAATCATATATTAAAATAATGCCCTTCAGAATGGATTAATAATGGTTATTATTTGATATTCTTTTGGTACAGGAATATCTGTTTGGTTTTTCATAGAGGAAAATACTTCTGGATTTGCAAGACACACTCATTCATGATTTATTTAACCCGTTTTTACAGAATTTACTCAATTACATGGCTTTGCACAACACATACTGAGCCATAAAGTGACTACCATCTGTTAGTTTCTACAAGCTAGGCCAACAAGTTCTTGATGAGTTTGCTGTCCAGCGTGTGGCATAAACTTTTTGTGTGTGTGTGCTTTCTAGTCAGTGTTGACTCCTGGTGACTGCCTGGACAGTCCCTGCAGTTTTCTTGGCAAGATTTTTCAGAAGTGGTGTGCCCTTGCCTGCTTCCTAGGGCTGAGAGAGAGGGACTGGCCCAGGGTCACCCAGAATTAGAACTCTCGATCTCCCGATTTCTAGCCTGGTGCCTTAACCACTGCACCAAACTGGCTCTCAAACTTCATTGGTTAGGTTATTAAAAAACTGAAAGGAGACAAAAAGCTGGCTTCATATTTCAGTGGGAGTGAAATATCAGAGCAGGTGAGTGAAATAATGCCTAATTTGGAAAACCCAGAAGGGCCAACTCTCCTACGTCTGATTATATAATGTCGGTACACGTTCAGATGCTCGTTCCAATTTGATTACTACAGTATGCATTTTTCAGAGCTTAGCTGTGGAATAGGAAAGTATCTCATCCCAATCTTGACTGCTAAGAAGTCAACCCAACCGAATTAAACAGGACTCAGCTCCCGTTGTGTGTAGCAACGGTAGCCAACGAATGGCCTTCGCGTGCGCCGGAATACAAATCCCATCGATCGCATGGGCTGGAGAGGCGATGGGCGTTGGAGAGTTCAACATGCCTAGAGGGCGCCCGGTTGGAGAAGGCCGGTGCCTAAAGCCTCGCGACGAAAGGCGAGCTCCACTAGAGAGGGGAAATCGAAAGTAGAGCTGGAGAGGCTGTCTTGGCTTAGGCGCAAGGCGATATGGCCGAGGCTGAAGAGGTTTTTCGGTTTCCGCTTGTGGCCGAGGGGAACTGGGGCTGCAGCCTGAGCAAAAATCTGAAGAACAAACTCCACTGTTACTTCCAAAGCCCGAAGAGATCGGGAGGCGGGGAGTGCAAGATCCACGTGAACCCCGGCAGAGAGGGGCAGATAACGGTGTATTTCGCTAAGGAAGAAGGTGAGTGTAATGGAGTTGGATCTCGCTTCTCGCGGGGTAGAAGAGCTTTCTGACGGAGATGCAGCGCAGGCCTATTCGGAAGATGTCGGGAAGTCAGTCCAGCAGAGTAATGCAGGGCTAGCGCTTGGACGAGAGACGCCCGAGGAGTCCCACGGCTGCGGTTAGACTGAGAAGCAGTCCGTAAAGCAGACAACACCAAACCGGATTCTTAACGTTGCCGAGCACACTTCGTTTTTACCTTTACCTTAACACTGCATCTTTACCTTAAGATTCATTACATGCCCCCGCCTTTCTTAATCGAGGGCATTATAGCAAGGAAAAGAGCACGTATGCTTTGTGTAACTCCAATCATCCTGAAAATACAGTAAACCTGAGTGCTGAATAGGCTTATATACTTCTTTTGGTCTGCTCTTTCTTTGTATTTGTTTGCTGGCTAATGGGGGTAAATAGGTTGGCTTTCAGGAACTGTACTTTATTAGTTTTCAGAAGTTTACATTTGCTGCTATTCCAGCATATCTACAGTAGAATCTTAAATAGGGTTGGCACACCTGATGTGACTTCATATCTTGAAAACATACTATTACTAGAATGTTACTCTATGGTTTGCTGTAATCCTGAGGTGTTACTGTATTTTGAATTTATTTTGGAGTTGATGTAGTTATAAATATCTTTTGTTCCTTGTAATGTAACTAGAAAATGTTTAGAAGAAATTATAGAAGTTTGTACATGATTTGTTTACAAGAAACAGAAGTAGAAAGCTGTATTCAGTCTGGAATCGAAACAGAGGCTAAAGGGATTTCCTAACTGACTGTAATTGAAACCAACTCACTTTCACTTTCTGGATCCCAACCTTTACCCAGGAACATATTTTTGTTATCAAATAAAACTAGATCAAATAATAACTATTCTTCTCTATATTTCAGTGAGAGAGAGGGTCCTTAATATGAAGCATCATGAACTCAGTCTGCCAGAAAATAAGAAATTGAAGCTAATGGTCTTCCTGCCTTCAGTGGGAGTAGTGCCTGATAACAGTGAGCTTCTGGAGGAACAAGATCCAAGCCAGGTACGTGCACTATACCAGGGTAGTCCAATTGCATGGATAAAATCTGTGCTTTGTGTCCTCCATACACGTTTGTCTTAGAGACTGTGGCTGTGGTAGGTCATGTTTACCATTAATGATGGTTTGTGGAACTAACCATAGTAGCCTTATGCACATAACTGAGAACTAGTTTGGTGTAGTGGCTAAGGTGCTGGCCTAGAGACCAGGAGAGATGGGGAGTTCTAGTCCCGCCTTAGGCATGAAAGCTGGCTGGGTGCCTTTGGGCCAATCCTTCTGTCTCAGCCCAACCTACCTCACAAGATTGTTGTGGGAAAAACAGGAGGCAGGAGCATTAGGGATGTTTGCTGCCTAAGCCTAACACTGGTTTACAGACAAGAGTATTTGGGTCCATACACCATTTTAAACTAAAGCCAAGCAAGCCACAGTATATCTCGGTATAGCAATGTGATTGTCAAGCCCTTATAAGTATAAACCTGCAGCCTCTTCCTAGCTTTAGTGCTAAGTCAGGACTTTATTGCTAGGGCTGTCTACAGTGATAGTCTCTGGCTTCAAAATGGCAGCCATGACAGGGCAGCCAAGGGCCTGCCCTTTCTACATGTATGCAGTGCATGTGACACATGTTAAAAAGAGGCGGAGTTGTGATCTGCCATTTTGAAGCCTGTGACCATCGCTATGGATGCCCTGGTTACACTGTTCATAATCATGCTTTGTTGAATAAGGCATAATGGCCTCATTTGTACACAATGCAAAAATAAAAATATATTGTGCTTTTAGCATGGTATGTAACTCAAGTGCTGAAATGGCAGGTGTTGAAACAGTCTACTGGAACTGCAAAAATCATTGCTAGGAAGGGGAGGTATATGGTCCATAACCTAGATTTAAGATTCCCTGAAAATTTATTAGAGGTTTTCAGTGAGAATGTCCAATGAGTAATGCCTAGGAAGTTTTCCAGAGGAGGAACTTACATATCCACTATGGATTGTCCCTCCAGTTTGCAATTTCTGGGAAGTGTTCTAGGATAGTGCTATTGCTGAAGGGAGTGGAGGTGTGATTTGGGGATCTTCTGTGTATGCTTCAGTTTTTGGAGCTCTAACAACTATTTTGCTTAGTTTCTTTTTAAGGGGAGTATTCTATGGTTATCAAGCTGTTAGCTGCTGAATTTCATAGGTGCAAACTTTCACCTCTTTTTTTGGTTAGTTAGCAATAGTTTTTCTTGTAATATGGACTGACAGGCTATTTCAGGTTAATTTTTTAAAACAAATTTTCAAACCATGGATTATGAAGCTGGTCTAGTTAACATTGCTTGCTTTTTCAATTAATTTTATCTTTCTAATGGTTAATTATTGCCTTGCTTTTAGAAGCCTGTTGCAGCTAAAGAACCCCATCAGCTTGGTAAGTCATATTACTGAATGGGCAACCTTATAACTTCTTGATGTATTTTCACACCAAACCTTTTGGCTGAGTGCCAATTTATCCCCCTCCCCCATTTGTTTAAATTGCTGCTTCACTTGGTGGTAAAATGCTTGTTTGGTTAGCATAGTTCTTCATGGTCATTAACCCTTAAATGAAAGACAGGTATGGAATTAAGTCACTGATTTTTAACAAATGCCATATCTCCCATCATCACCAACTGAGCAACTTTTTCTTAAAGTAATCATTGCTGAAATATCTTTCTCATTCAAATAATGTTTTTGTTTACATTTTACATACTGTAGGTGAACAGTCACTTGTAAACTACAGTTCAGATGCAAATTCAGATTATTCAGAAAAGGAGGCAGGAAAAATGGCCATCCAGGAGAGCTTCAGTGTGGTGGTAATGGCAGATGCAGACAGTGAAATTCAGATGGACTTCTTGGAGATGTATTTTGAGAATAAGAAATATTCTGGTGGAGGGCCCGTAAAGTCCTGCATTAAAGATGGTCAGCAATTCATCATCACCTTTGAAAATGAAGCAGGTATTTCTATAAGAGCTTTTTATATCTGAAAGAGACTGTATTTTGAAAGAATAGGATGTTTCTTCTTTTCTTGCTCTTGCTGTGAATGATCATGTCACAGATTGGAAAGCATTTTGGGGGGGGGTGCATTTTGTGATCTTGTACAATGTGTGGCTATTTTTTTTAAATACAAGTAGTCAACATCTCACATCCCCTATTGCATGCAAGTGCACAAGAAAATGACGAGTTCTCAAAAGATTTGGTAATCTTGCAAGATGGAGGCCATTTATATTTTGGCATTCTGCAAACATCACCATCTAGGGCAGGGGCTTCTAAACTTTTTGCTGTCACACCTTCTCCCTTTAGTGTAATCTTAACATACACGCCTCCCCTAAAAATCCAAACACTAAAATGAACCCAAATAAGCAATGAAAATAATACAATGAAACTTGGAGAAAGGTGGATTTATTGTAACCAAGTACAACTAAAAAGTTCTTCATACCTCCCCGGACTCTGTCTGCACCTCTTCAAGGGAGGTACACCTCACAGTTTGGGAAACCCTGGTCTAGAGGTACTGGGAATCATGTCACTGATTCTTGTGGTATTGAGGGCGCTGATCTATGCAGATGACAGTCACATGGTTGGTTGAAACCAGACTCTGTGGGACTTGGTTCTTGTAGCAGCCATTCAGATTATGCTGTGAGATAAAACAATGACAGCTAAACAGCATATTATAGGCCTAATGCGTGGGGAATTCAGTGGGCTGCTAGATGGCCACTTGGGCATATGCATTCTTTTCCAGACATTTTAGGATGTTAGACCAAGGAGGAAATCGTTGAGTGGATTTATCTAAGCAACAAAATACAGGTTTCTGAGGAGGGGGTTAGCAAGAGGGGCAAATTGCTTAGGGCCTGAATACCTACAAGGCTATCTCTCTCAGGTTTTTTCTATCTGTCCAGTAACATCTGGCAGGGTCAGCCAGCTCCAGGTTCCATCAGTAAAACAGTGTCAGACTTCAGAGACTCTCTTTCTCTGGCCACTCCACTCTTCCACCTGAAATCTGTATCACCCTGACTCTGCTGCATTTTTGAAAATATTTGAAGACCTAGCATTTTATATTAGGGCCTGGTTTAGATGGTTTGTGTTCCTACTTTTTATTTTACAGGATGGATAATTGGTTGTATTGTTTCCTCAATGTGGGTCTTATTAATTTGATTTTTTTTTCTGGTAGTGGGGTGGTTTTAATTTTATTTATACTCTGTAAGCTGCCTGGAGTTGCAGTTGCAACTGAGGCAGCTTATAGGACAATCAACATAAAATAATAAATAAGAAAATATGGGTGATTGCATCATGCAAATCCTGTGACTTACATACTTGCAACAGATGGCAAGATGCAAGTATGTAATTGCAACATTTGTAGCATGTACATTGACATCATCATGGTTTGCTGTGGACATCGCTGCAGTGAAGCTTAGAGCTCTCCAGAAAATGCCTGCTAAGGGCTTTACCCTTCCTTGCTTTTTTGATTTCAAGTTTAGAAAGTCCTGCTGAATACACCATTCCCCTTTGCCTTTGGTTTTTTACCTAATCTTATCAGTATTCCAAACTGTGGTGTTGAATCAGCCAAGAAATATATCATGATACCAGCAGAATCAGTGCATCCATGTAGGGGTAGGCAGAATGGCAGATGATAAAAGCAGTATCATACCTTTGTGATGCAAACACTTCCCCCTTTGCAGGTGCGCCAAGACTTTGCAAGCACAAAGATATAGAACTTGCATCTCAACAGCACAATCCTGCTTTGTCATTTTAGCAGAAACGGTGCTCCTAAAAGTCTCTCTACTCCAAATCCTAGTGTAACTAATTCACTAATCCCATCCAATAATGGATGATCATTTTCCACATAGTTATTTCGCAGTTATTGTTACCAATTTCTCCAAAACACAGAGGGTTTGGGGGCAGATTTGTTAATAAATAATTAACAGATCTGTTAATAAATAGTTCACAAGGGAGGGCAATGGCAGAGTGACTTCCTGAAACACTTTTCCAGCAGTCATTTTTTAATATATGCAGCCTATGATCAGGAGGTGGGAAATAGCTATTATTATTATGGTTGGTCGCACAGTCAGCCAGAAGTTTAGACTGGATTTGGCATTTTTATCCACC